TTTTACACTCCCCTATACCGCTAGTTGTTAAGACGTGGTTTTAGTATTAAAAACTAATTCAAAGGATCAAATATAACAAACAAGGAGAAGTATCATGCATATTTTCCAACTTAAAACCACGCAAAAAGCCGATGTCTTCATATGGAACATATGGAACCGCTTGGCAGCCTAAAGTTGATGACCACTGACCAGTTACTGTGACGTCACGAAAACGTATTTCCGCGGTGTCCTCTTGGGGCTGACGACCTCGTATGATGTCTTGATCAAATATACGGATTCGCGATGTGATCGATGAATAATTCTCAAGATGAAGTATAGGACGCGGAAGAAAGGGTTCAGGGACAGGACTCAGAGATATCTGTGTGCCTGCAAGGCTGGTCAAGTCCAGCTCGCAACAGCGTGTACCTGTTCCGTTCTTGTTCTAGAGTTGCATGGCGGTTCTACTGGGTGCTCAGTGAAAATGAAGGCAGCAATGCCACGAAAACGAGCTATGAAACCTCCCGCAACCTCACAGCCCGTTCTTAACAGCTCTGCCGCTTGACGCTATAAATCATGCAGAATACCGCAGGCTAGGCTGTCGTGCTGGCCATCTTTTATAGGAACAGTGTTGAATCACGGAAGCATCACAGAAGTATGATCAAACTTCGTCTCTCGCCTTCCTGTTGCAGCTTTCATTTGCTACGTTACAAAAGATATTCTAATCATTATCAATTCCAATCACAACTGGATGCTTTCCTTGCATTGCTGACTACCATTGCAAGGGATTAGGGAAACATGCACGTCATTCTAGTTTCAGGTCTCATTTCTAATGATATTTCTTTTCAAAGCTTCTTTACGGTAAATAACTAAAAGTTAAAATTAACTAATGGGTAAAACATCGAAGAATGAAATTGGTTTAATGACGATTATGTGGGGCACAACAAAAAAATACTGAAGAACAACTTATGGTGGTATTTTTATGTGAAAAATTATATTTTCCAACATCACATAATGTATGCTTGAAATAAATTTTTCTTGTTGTAATACACGTCTGTACGTTGTGATGAGTCTTTTACAATTGTCTAATACCGTTGAAGACAGTGCTTTTTCCCGGCCAGTAGGGCGTATCCCCATAGTTGTTGTCCTAGATACTGCTACAGTGTCAACTATTGTGTGTTGTTCTGTAGTACGACAGATATAAGTAAGTATTTGGAAAGTTATAGTCTTCTAATGCCTGATAAAATAATGGTGTGAGGCACCGAGATTTCACTTTTATACATCAAAGAAGTCGTATTTTGTAATCTTGTTTCATATGGGTAGGCAGACAATATTTGGAGAGACAGCTGCAGGTCTCAGTGTAAAAATCATGACTTCCTTCGAGTAAGAACGGGGCCATAACTTCTTATCAACATTTAAAGCAAATATCAGGAGGGAGAATCTGGCTACATTAATTACTGATGGCGGCTGCCTAAACCGTCATCTTTGTAATTCTTAATCAACGGGAGCTTAATTGTTATTTTATTTTAATTGTCAAGTACCAATTAATTGTAGTCCAAGGTATAGGCAATTTAACTTAATGTAAAAATTTCATTGTAATATATATATTTATACAAATGAATAAAGGCTGATAGTTTCGAAAGAAACTGTTTGGGGCTGCGTCGGTGGGAGTAACGAAATAATTTGGATATATCAACAAAGTTGAAATGGTAAATTGGCCACCGTAATGATTACAAAAGCTGACGTTTCGAGCGTTAGCCCTTCGTCGGAGCGAATAGAGGAATTGTGGGTTGTGTGTGCTTTTACAGGCAGAAAATGGAGCCACGTTATTGGTGGGAGCATGGCAACGAGAAAAACATGAATAAATTAGCGGAATGAAAAGCGTTCGTTGATCCCTGGGGGATTTAGACTGCCGGTTTGAAAGATGAGCTTTTGTTCAAGATTTTTACGGCTTTCCGTGCCACCTAAGTGCAAGGAAAGACCGCAGATTGCCATATGTTGCTTAGAATGATTAGGTAAATTAAAATGTCTAGCGACTGGTTTCGATGTGTCCTTGTCATTCCTTTCCACGTCTCGAAGGTGTTCTCGGAATCGGTCACCTAGTCTTCTGCCTGTTTCGCCGATGTATATCTTTTTGCAATAAGTGCAAGTTATGCAATAGATTACATTAGCGGAGGTGCACGTGAAGTGATCGGTGATCTTAATGGATCGTTTAGGTCCCGATATTTTATCAGTGTTGTGAATGAAAGGACACGTTTTGCATCGTGCACGAGCGCATTTAAAAGTGCCTGGTTGCTCATTAGTCTGAAAAGAACTTCTGACCAAAAAATTGCCTAAGTTTTTGTCGCGTTTGAATGAAATGAGCGGAGGCTGCGAAAAGATAGTGC